CCCCCCCCCCCCCCCAAGCTGTCTATTCAGTTTAGTTGACATATTTGATGCTTGAATATCCTCTTTGCATGCATGATTATTCACTCCACTGCACTAACATTCAAGCTATCCAACATGTCCCAATCTCTCAAATACTTCTAATTCATGTGTGTGTGTGTGTGTGTGTGTGTGTGTGTGTGTGTGTGTGTGTGTGTGTGTGTGTGTGTGTGCGTGCATGTGACCGTGTGCTTCTATTACTGGTTTGTGCTGATGATGGAATTGCCATCAAACATGAATGTCACTCAGCCAAATTGCTTTGAACTCTTTGGCTACGATGTATTGGTTGATGAAGATTTGCGGCCATGGCTCCTGGAGGCGAACTCTTCTCCATCACTATCACTTGCCACACCCCTTGATGAAAAGATCAAGAAGAATCTGATCAGGGATACAATCCAATTGGTAAGTTACGCTGTTTTTTTTTTTTCCTTTGTTTCTTTTTTTTTTTTTTGAGAAGGGAAAAAAAAACAGAACCTTACGGCTCTGGCTCCTTTCCATTCTCAGGAGCATCAGTCCGGTAATTCCGGTTCCTATTCCACCGGCAAGTCAGAAAAGGTTACAAATAGATACTCACGCACACTCCTTTCCATTATGGTTGAGAGGCCCTAGTGGACGGCATTGATTATTTCCCGAGGGAACGATGTACCACCCCTCACCCCTGCGCAAGTTAGCCTGCAAAACTTACTTTTGAGGTTGGTTGCTAGTCTGACTTCTTCTACATCTGTTTGTCATTTGTAACTTACCTAAAGGAGCCCTAGAAGCTACTTGGCTGTCAGATCAAGTACTCGAACTTCTAGCTTCGCTACTTACTGTCAAGCTTACTGAAACCCTAAACCCGAGTGGTCCTGTTTCATACTTACTCCTCTCAGCTGTTGGGCTGTCAGGTTTACTTCGACAACTAGAGCAGTTTGAAGCATCAACCTTCGAACCCTTTCAAGGCCGACCTTGCTAAAGTCCTAAACCGTAGAGTCGTAGACTGACCAGGGGTTTTAAGTGCCTTCTGTCCGGACTGTATAGACTTCCTTGGGAATCTTGCCTTATTCTGTGAACTAGAGTCGTTGGATGCTCTCTGGATGGATTATATACCACTGTTCCCCGTTACCTGTATCTTAATTCTGTAACTTACCTTGGAGGTCACTGCGCCTGCCCTCCTAATTTCTTCTTTCCTCTCTAGGTGGTTGTGTGGGTGCCTTATCTGGTGCCCATAGACATACTTGTGAGGTGGGTCCTACTTCTAGGCATTTCTGAAATCTGTGGTGGGATAGTCTGTTATGTCTCCATGAGCCGAACAAGATTTTGTCTTTGATTATTGTTGCTATTTCCTTTCTCTTAGCTGCTGTTTTTTTTTTAACGCGTCTGTGATCCTGCTGTGTGCTTTAGCTGTCAAATGTCCTGAGTTCCACCTTCGACCTTTACTTGCAGTGATTCCTTGGGATCTTTTTGTGTTCTCCCGTCATCTCTACAGCAGGCCGTTATTTCTGCCTCCTTGTGTGCTCACTTTACGTAGTCTGGCTCCTGTTTTGAGTTCTGTTTTTGGTTCCTTTTTCCTTTGGTTTATAGTTCTTTGCCTCATCGTTATCTGACCGTGTACATTGGTTCTGATTATCCCAGTTCGGTATCTTTGAGGTTTTATGAACTTTTATCTCTTAGGTTCGAAAGCTTCCGATCTAAAATCCACCTTTCCTCAAAAGCTTGTAGTCTGCTTTCCGTTCTTTGGGGGTCTGTTAAATTTTATAAATTTGAAAGCTCTTCTTTCCACAGCGCTCTTATTTCTGTTTCTATGATCTCTGTAGATTCCTTCCATGCTTTTTCCCCTGTTGTCTTTTGATTGCTGAGCGTTTCTTTGCATCTGGATCTCAGCTCTTCTCATTAAGTCTGATAACGTTTTTCCTCATCGGTTATGTTCCCTTCTCTGTCTCTTGCTCAAAGTAGGTAATCCGGGTGTGAGGGGTACTGGTTTTGTGAGATGTTGGCCCATGCTTTCTTGACGGCCTCCCATATTTTGATGGCATGGGAGCACTCAATTAGGCAGTGGGTTAGTGATTCGACTTTTGCTCATTGCACATTTTGCAGAGGGGGGATTGAGCCATTCTTTGGTCCGCTTTCCTTCGCGAGTCTAGCCATTCATTCACCGGTACTGCCAAGTAAAGGATTAGCCATTGCAGGCTTCTGATCCTAGTAGGTCCTGTACTACTGTAGTATTCCCATGGGATAGCTGACGGCCAGCCATGATCCTTGCCTAGATGTTTAGTCTATCTGCTGGAGATAACTTGGCAAGGTCCTCGGACCTGTTTCTTATTTTCTGACCGATTTTGACTCCATAGTCTTGGAGATTTATTAGCTTCCTTGCTGGAGATAACTTGGCAGGTCTACTTCCAGTTCCCTGATATCTTTGTCAGGTCTGTATATTACTGTCTTATTTTGACTATCTCCTCTTCTTAAGGTCGTTTGATTTCCTTTCTGGCTCCACGTTCAAACTTTTCTCATGTTTTCTAAGTTTCTAGGGTGGTTATGCTGTCCCTTACGATTTCTGTTACTGATTTGTGTTTGTCTAGCAGTTCATGCACTTCAAATTCGGCATGTTAAGAAGATTGTTGACATGCTTAATGAATTTGAGGGCTACTGTTTGTTGCACTGTCCCGTGCCTACCATTTGGTATCCCGTTTCAACCATGCTGTTATGATCCTGACCAATTTCGAAGTACACATTCATCATAAAGTACAATGTCGTCTAATTGCAAAAAGAAATGAATGAACTTTAGAGGAAGAAGAAGAAGAAGAAGAAGAAGAAGAAGAAGAAGAAGAAGAAGAAGAAGAAGAAGAAGATGTACACCAGCATAGACCATGATAATGCTCTTCTTCTTCGCCAACCACTCTCCTCCTCCTTGTCTTCTCCCCTCTTGAAACGGTATTCACCAATTCGTGGTAGCTGAGGTAGATCCCAGGGCTCGATCCCTAGTTCCCCAACTTACCTGTGTACAATACCTGCGTCAACTCGAAGAGTTGAACCTGCGACCTGTAGAACCGCCAGTGGTAGGTAGGTCTGTCGTAGGTCTATAGGTAGCCAGGATTCGATCCGTAGACCTGTAGATT